TATCTCAAAGTAGTTTTGATTTGCATTTCTCTAATGATTAATGATGGTGAGCATTTTTTCATATATCTGTAGGCCATGCGCCTATCTTCTTTAGAGAAATTTCTCTGCAATTCCCTTGCCCACCCTGAGATGGGATCACTCGTTCTCTTCTTGCTGATACATTTGAGTTCTCTGTGGATTCTGGTTATTAAACCTTTGTCAGAGACAGACATAACCTGCAAAGATCATCTCCTTTTCTGAGGGCTGTCTGCTTGCTTTACTTACTATGTTCTTGGCTATGTAGAAGCTCTTTAGTTTGATCAGGTCCCAATAGGGTATTTTTGATGTTGCTTCAATTGCCCGGGGAATCCTCCTCATAACTTTTCACCCAGGCTGATTTCTTCAAGTGTTTTCCCTATGCTTTCCTCTAGTATATTTATGGTTTTGTGTCTTAAGTTTAAATCTTTAATCCAGTGAGAGTCTATCTTAGTTAATGGTGAAAGGTGTGGGTCCAGTTTCAGTCTTCTACAGGTGGCCAGCCAGTTTGCCCAGCACATTTGTTCAATAGGGAATCTTTTCCCCACTCAATGTTTTTAATTGGCTTGTCAAAGATCAGGTATGGATAAGTAGCTGGATTCATCTGTTGGCTCTCTATTCTGTTCCATACATCTACCTCTCTATTTTGGTCCAGTAACATGCTGTTTTAATCACTATGGATTTATAGTGTAATCAGAGGTCTGGTAGCGTGATTCCTCCTGTTTTGTTTTTATTCCTGAGTAATGTCTTGATGCTATTCAAGGTTTTTTCTGATTCCATATAAAATGAAGTATTATTTTTTCTAGATCTTTGAAGTATGACAGTAGAGCTTTAATAGGGATTGCATTAAAATTATACATTGCTTTGGGTAATATGGACATTTTGACAATGTTGATTCTTCCCAGCCATGAGCATGGTATATTTTTCCATTTGTTAACATTTTCATCTATTTCTTTTCTTAGAGTTTCATAGTTCTCTTTATAGAGAACTTTCACATCCTTTGTAAGGTAGAATCCCAAATATTTCATTTTCTTTGGTGCTACTGTGAACAGAATAGAGTCCTTGACTGTTTTTTCAGCTTGGCTGCTGTTGGTGTATATAAAGGCTACAGATTTATGAGTGTTGATTTTGTAACCTGAGACTCTACTGTATTCCTTGATCACTTCTAAGAGTTTTGTAGTTGAATCCCTGGTGTTTTCCAGATATACAATCATATCATTTGCAAAAAGTGAAATTTTAGTCTCTTCTGACCCTATATGGATGCCCTTAATCGCCTTTTCTTCCCTAATTGCAATGGCTAAAACTTCCATTAGAATGTTAAAGAGCAGTGGATACAATGGGCAACCTTGCCTGGTTCCTGATCTGAGTGGAAATGATTTCAGTTTAACTCCATTCAATACAACATTGGCTGTATGTTTGCTGTAGATGGCCTAATTAAGTTTAAGCAATGTCCCTTCTATACCAATTTTCTTAAGTGTTCTGATCATGAAGGGATGCTAGATATTATCAAATGCTTTTTCTGCATCAATTGAAAGAATCATGTGGTCTTTGCTTTTTAATTTGTTTATGTGATGAATTACATTTATAGATTTATGTATGTTGAACCATCCTTGAGATCCTGGGATAAAACCCACTTGGTCATGGTGTATAATTTGTTTGATGTGTTGCTGGATTCTGTTTGTTAGGATCTTGTTGAATATTTTCACATCAATATTCATTAGTGATATTGGTCTGTAATTTTCTTTTCTTGTTGGGTCTTTTCCTGGTTTGGGGATCAGGGTGATACCAACTTTGCTTTTCTTTCTTTTGTCACCTTTACCTCTTCCCTGATTAGACTGGGAGGGGCTTTGTATCATCTCCAGAAGGCAAGTTGTTGCTGTTTTTTTGTTTTTTCCTGGTCAAGTACCATTTACCCTCAGGGTTCTGCAGTTGCTGTTCCCTCTACCCAGAACACTGTTCCAGGATTGTTCCCTGGATATGGCCATCTACTCATTGATCCTCAAGTAACATGGCGCTTCATCCCACAAGCTGAGGTGCAACCCATCTATGACAGCATCTGGTTGTGTGGATGGTTCCTGTTTCTTGCAGCAATTACCAGTTTGTGACACCTGTGACTGATTTGTTGTTTGTTTTTGCCTCCCTTGTTGGAAAGAAAAGTACACAAGAAAAATGCAGCTGGTCTAACTTGTTCCTACAACTGAATCTGTGGCAAGGAGCTCAGGTCAAAGCTCATAGGAGAAGCTCTGTAGTTACATGTTCAACAATGAATGGGGGGCAGGATGGAAACTGTCATGTATTCATGGTCATCTCATAGTAGACCACAGGATAGAAGCTTTTCTACAGTGTCTACAGTCCTTAGAAAGTGTGAGCGTGGGGTCATTTGTACACATTTCAGAAGAGGAAAAGAGAACTCAGAGAGACCAAAAGTGCAATTTCCCAAAAGACTTGTTATGACTCTGTGTGGACTCCAGGATCCAAACCCACATTTCCAACAGCCAAACCAATCAGGACCCAGTACTGCCTGCTCTGATCAAGGAGTTACTCTACTATTCACAGCAGGCTCTGAATCAGTAGGTGAAAATCCTAAAAGGCAACAAAGATAAGGTGACCAGATTTTAACATTGTAAAGCAGGACACCATTGGGGTGAGGGCGGGGCCTCAGGGGGCGGGGCCTGACAACAATGCAACCTTTGATAAGCAGTTCTCGATAATCAGTTCTCAACAAGTATTTGTTATTATTAAAGTTTAACATTATAAAATTAACAAAATAATATAAAACTCATATCCTGGCAAAATAGCCACATGGCAGTTGAAAACCGAATATTCCCTTCCTCTTCTCCCACGTTCCCTAGCTTGTTGTGCATTCTTTCCAAAAATCAGACTTTTTAAAAATGCTATGGGACACGGACAAATTATTAAAAATCGAGACTGTCCCACCTAAAGTGGGATGTGGGGTCACCTTCGGGGGGGGAGGGGAGAGGGCTACTTGCTTGTTCCAGACAGTTTGGCTCCTTCTGAGCTAATTGTCCTTGTCTAGAAGTAAGGGAGGGAGCAGTCTCCTTCTGATACCAATTCCACCTGGGAGACCTTGCCCAGGAGGGGAGTAGGGAGTTTACTTTAGCCTTTTCATCTCCAAATGAAGTTACATTAACCTCTTCATTCCCAAATGGAGTTACATTAACCTTTTTAGCAGCTGAAAACCGTATACTCCCTTATATTCTCCTGTTATTCCCAGCTTATTGTGCATTCTTTCCAAAAATTGGGACTTTTTTAAAACCCCGTGGGATGCAGGACAAATTGTTAAAAATTGGGACTGTCCTGCCCAAGGTGGGACATCTGGTCACCTTAAACAACTAAACACAAATTAATTCACAGATTCATGATTTAAAAGGAGGAATTAGCCAGGTGAGTCTGGTGGAGAAAAGGACAAAAGAAAAAAGAAACAAGGCTCGGCGCCTGTGGCTCAAGCGGCTAAGGTGCCAGCCACATACACCTAAGGTGGGGAGTTCGAATCCCCAGCCCGGGCCGCCAAACAACAATGATGGCTGCAACCAAAAAATGGCCAGGCGTTGTGGCGGGCGCCTGTGGTCCCAGCTACTTGGGAGGCTGAGACAGGAGACTCGCTTGAGCCCAGGAGTTGGAGGTTGCTGTGAGCAGATGCCATGGCACTCTACCCAGGGGGATAGCTTGAGGCTCCATCTCAAAAAAAAAAAAAGAAAAAAGAAACAAACCCACAATTTTCCAAAGAGTTTGGATCTTAGTAAGTTTTCTCCAAAACTTGAAACACGTTTTTGAAAAAGGAATGTTTATGGATGAGGAAGTGCTGCCTCCCAGAGGATAACTGTGTTATTGCACCTCCTTGTTCTTTAAGACCTTAAGGTTCTTCAGAGTTTAAAGAACAAGGAGAAGAAGAGGTAGAAGACAAAGAGGACCAAGAGGACAACCAGCACAAGAAGTGAGAGAGGAACAGAAGATCACAGTAATTATAACAACAACGATGACAGCACAGGATCACACTATTGGATTTGGTTTAGGTTTTGGAGAACACTTTCACATCTGTTTTACCTGAGGCCACATGTCATCACTACAGCTCCCAAATTGTCATGAGTCCAATAATCACTGTCTTCCTGGTTTCTACTCTGGCTTGCTGGGCTCCCCTATGAACATGGGGACTGTTTCCTTGTCTCAGGCCAGGCTGAGTGTCTCATTCCCTCCTTTCTGGCAGTAACTGCGCTGCCTGCCTGGTGATAAATAGAGCTGTATGCAGCTCCTGCCACAGATACTGGCTCCCTGCCACACAACATTACACAGCTGACTGTCTTGGCTCCACCATGAAGCTGCTGATGGTCTCACTGCTGACTGCCCTCTCCCCTGCTGCTGTGCAGGTGAGCCCTGTGCAGGGGGGAGGCCAGCAGATGGAGGGCATTGCTGGGCCTCTGTGGAAGAAATCCTGTTCCCCAAGGCCCAGCACAGAAAAGCCCCAGAATGAAGGGTCTATATGCTATGGACCTCAGGGTCACATTCATTCCAGACACTAAAGCAGATAGGTGGGCTGTGTCCTGTGGAGGAGCTGCACACAGAGTCTCACTCCCCTCAGGGTGTCCCACCAGGGTCACTGTTAGCATGAAAACCAGCATGAGTCTCAGGGTTGAATATTGGACCTTGCTGTCTCATTGGAGAAAAAGAAAAACATGGAGCGCAGAGCGATTTGGTTGGTCGTTGAGAAAGCATCTTTTCTTTGCTCGGTGACTGCGGCTCTTCATTGGGCATCAGAAGCTGCGCGGGGCTCTGAGAAGTGGCCTACAACTTCGGCGTTGGGTAAGAGAAAATGGCTCGAACCAAGCAGACCGCTCGCACATCCACTGGTGTGAAAGCCCCCCATGAACAGCTGCCCACCAAAGCGGCCAGGAAGAGCGCTCCCTCTACCGGCGGGGTGAAGAAACCTCATCGCTACAGGCCCCGCACCGTGGCGCTCAGAGAGATGCGTCGTTACCAGAAATCCACTGAGCTGCTTATCCCTAAGCTGCCTTTCCAGAGGTTGGTGAGGGACATCGCCCAGGATTTCAAAACCGACTTGAGGTTTCAGAGTGCGGCCATTGGTGCGCTTCAGGAGGCGAGTGAAGCGTACCTGGTGGGTTTGTTTGAAGATACTCATCTGTGTGCCATCCACGCTAAGAGAGTCACCATCATGCCCAAAGACATCCAGTTGGCTCGCTGGATACGGGGAGAGAGCTGAAGTGAAGGCAGTTTTTATGGTGTTTTGTCGTAAATTCTGTAAAATACTTTGGTTTAATTTGTGACTTTTTTTGTAAGACATTGTTTATAATATGTTGCATTTGTACTTAAGTCATTTCATCTTTCACTCAGGATGAATGCGAAAAGTGACTGTTCACAGACCTCAGTGATGTGAGCACTGTTGCTCAGGAGTGACAAGCTGCTAATATGCAGAAGGGATGGGTGATATTTCTTGCTTCTCAGGATGCATGTTTCTGTATGTTAATGACCTGTTGGGTAGCTATACAGGTACTAGAATTGATAAACGTGTACAGGGTCCTTTTGCAATAAAACTGGTTATGACTTGATCCAAGTGTTTAACAATTGGGGCTGTTAAGGCTGACCACACATCACTGTGATAGAATGTGAGCTTTTTCAAGGGTGAAGATACAAGTCTTAACCACAGTGTAACTTAGAGTTTCCTTAAAAAAAAAAAAAAAGTAAACCTGGCAGCTATAGAATACACTATGTGCATTTATAATAGCTATTTTATATATTGTAGTGTCAACATTTTTAAATTAAATGCTTTACATTCACAAGTGGTGGGAAGTCTGTCATTAAGGTGTGTGTAATTTAGAGTCCAGCTGGTTTTCTTCTAACTTGACTGCACTTGTTTTCATAGTAGTAAAGGGCTATGCGCATTATACCTTGAGCATAAGTCCTCATTCTACCCGTGTTAACTAACCCTCTAGCTGATGATGCAAACACTAATTGGGGATTTTATTTATATGGGCTCTAGAATAAAATACAAGTTATTCACACCAGCATCATCTGTTAATAGTTTGAAGAACTAGTTAGTGCAGCTTTTCATTGTGTTGTGATTGGTCTCATAGCTAGGTTGAGTTTTGCTCCCCTGCGTGAGGAGATGATTCCTAAGTTCTATTCCTTGTGGAGTTTGTATTATAACCCTCAGTGTAAACTTGCTGTGAGGGAGGAGCACACAGCTCCAGCTCACTCAACCTCTGCTGGTTAAGATGGCGTTGGGTTAGGTAACATCTGGTTACTGTCCTGGGAAAATCACTTAGGAGAGATGGCCTTCCAAGTGGTTTTAAAATTTTATCCTTCTATTGAAGTTTTAGGTCAATTATGTATGTTGACTAAATTTATGAATAAACTTGTTTATCCAAAAAACAAAACAAAACAAAACATGATTAAAGACCTCATGGCCTCCAGAAACCATCAAATAAACACAAGGCTCCTGAAATGTAGAAGGAAAAGGCAAACTTCCCAGAGAGAAGGCTCGGGCTATAGCATGTGACCCAGTGTCTCTCACCCTGTGGTCCACTTGCATTTGCAGAGTTGATCTGGGTTCTCTTTGGGATGCCCCCAGGTCGCAGTGTGCTTCTCAAAGCACAGTGGAGAGGAGAACTCACAGTCTCTGGGAGCTCCCTGACGCAATCAAGATCTAGGGGGAGGACAATGCCCTGACAGCTGGAATATGGCAGCACTTACCCTTCACAGAGGGAGCTGCCTTTTAGCATGTGCAAAGCCTGTTTCCAGACGTACCCTATTAATTTCCAAAGCAGGTGGATATGGGCAAACAAGTGATCTGCTCACAGTCAGAAATCACACAGCCAGGCTAAGTGCTCATAGCACAGTGGTTGCACCGTTGCTACATGCACCAAGGCTGGCGGGTTCCAACCCTGCCTGGGCTAGCTAAACAATAATGACAACTGCAACAACAAAAAAAGCTGCGTGTTGTGGCAGGCTGAAGTTGTCTCATGAAACCCCTTGTTCGGTGATGCAGAGAAAAGAACTGCTAGACAAAATGATTGGATTGAAAAGGGGGGCCATCAGGATGGGCAAGGGACTTGGAGAGAAATTTCTCTGAAGAAGATCAGCGTACGGCCTACAGATATATGAAAAAATGCTCACCATCACTAATCATCAGAGAAATGCAAATCAAAACTACTTTGAGATATCATGTAACTCCAGTAAGATTAGCCCATATCACTAAATCCCAAAACCAGAGATGCTGGCGTGGATGTGGAGAAAAGGGAACACTCTTGCACTGCTGGTGGGAATGCAAACTAGTATGTTCCTTTTGGAAAGACATCTGGAGAACACTTAGAGAACTAAAAATAGACCTGCC